TATCTGTACAAATGTTTACATCCCAAATTTGACTGTTACTTAACTTATTAGCAGTGGATATTAGCATAATCATCTGTTCAGATTAGAATGAGTGTTTGCAGAGTTTTGACAGTATTTTACACCATGAAGATTTTTCCTGCATCGTGTTAAGAAAGGATCGGATCACGAGTGCGTTTGCTAATCTCACCCTAACCAGAGGCTGCAGAATCATCTCTAACAGCCGTCTTACTGAAAAAGACATTACCCACGGCCTGCCATACCACACCGAAGGAGGATGGCGTAGCCAAGGCGAAGCGCCAGGGTGCTTCTTTGATTTACAACAGTAGCATTTCTGTGTAATGACAGTGAACTGAGTCATTGTGGAAAAACTTAGGCATATTGTTAAAATTGTGCTTGTTTTTCTCAAGATTTTGCAGGCTGTGAATCATTAGTTTCGTAAATGGGTGATTCCTTAAACTTTCTTCTTTCATGCTCAGAATGTACTTGCAATAGCTTATTATGTTATGGTTTGCATTTTGTCGAGCTCCCTTTTATATCAAATTGGGCCGGATGTGGTTAATGAACTAAAATGAGTTTGACATCCCTGGATTAGACTAAAGGAACATTTTAAATCATGGTTACCATAAACAGTTTGACCAAACGGCAGCCAAGTAAATACTGTTAAACATAAAGTCTAAACGCATGTGAAAAGATTGCCCAAGGGCTCATTTAAGAGACATTTAGAAAGGCCTTGATAGTCAATTACAATCAGTTATTGGTAAACAAAAACAAAACAAAAAAAGATTCAAATTCATGTTCAAGATTTGTGAGGTCTTCATGAGTTGTGCACAGTATCCCTGCATCTTTAGTCTTTCTAATGATTTTCAAACTTTCATCATTTCCCATCACACGCACATCTGGACTGAATTATGACACATTATAATTTCAAAACGCTTTCAGTCATTAAAAAATAACAAATACTGAAAATTGCACACATTTGTGTGACCTCTGAGAGTTTGTAGATTATCTGTTGTGACATAACCAAAGCACTTAACTTCTCTCCAAATGAATCAGGTGCGTGAGTTATTAAATGTAGAACAGTTGGGTGCGCTGTACTACAGATCAGGTTGATTATTTTATATCACGGGCTGCTGTGGCTCAGGTGGTAGAGCAGGTTTTCTACTAAATGTGGCAGTTCTGTCCCCAGACGCGCCACATGTTGAAGTGTCCACAGGGAAGACGCTGACGCTCCAAATGGCAGGCCAGCACCTTATATTGCAGCTCAGTCACCAGTGATGTGGGTGTGAGTGGGTGGATGATGCAACAACAACATAAAGCACATAAAACGCTATGTTAGCACAGCACATTTATTGTGACTTCACTGTAATATTATTCAAATCAATAAAGGAAAATATTTCATGAATGATTTCACCCCATTCTCTTTCAGTGCTTTATAGTATTAAAACTATATTGTGTTAGGAAGGAATCCTTAAAATCGCTCTGCCTCAGCAGTGTTCACACTTTGTTAGCACTTTGCTCTTCTCCTGAATCTACACAGGACGGCAGATTGTAGCGAAGCCTCCGTTAGCAGCAGGACGCTAAGAGACATGTTGAAGGAGCATCGCTGTGTTGTGCCTCGCCGTAACAGCTTGCTAATCAATAGAAACTAGCTACAAATTTCCATTCTGTCTGAGAGGAATGACGAACCGACAAAAGAAGAAAAAAAAACCTGTTAATCCCAAAGAAACGTCTCACAAACAAACACGGTCAGGCAAAAGATAATTTGCTAATATTCAAGTTGAAGCAGTGAGAAGCAAAAATGTGACGCCGTCTGCAGGTTTGAATTTGCTCTTGTTATCCGCTCCCTCCTTCATGCTTCTCACTAATTTTCTATTTCTATGTAAATTCATCTCCCGCCTGACAGAAGGCTGCAGTGCAGAGCACACGGGATTCGGCGTGGCAGCAAGCCTCTGTAATCGAGGCTGCCTCCACACAATGTTGCACGGCTTAAAACTGCAGCAAATGGGGGCTGGGGGTTAAAGGAGAAGTGTCAGACAGGGAAAGTAATGAAATGGCCTTTACATTCTTCTTTACCTTGTCTTCCTGCTCTTTTTTTTCCCATCGTGCTCTACATGGAAAGCCAGAAAACAAAAAAATTGTGGCTCTGCTCATGTTTTATCTCAGATTGTTGAATCAATAATCCCCTTCCACCATCTCTTTCTCCTATTTTACTCCCCTGTCTTCATCAATGCCAACTCAGTGATGTTTTCCGCTCGCTGTCCTCCCATTTCTCCGACCTAACATCTCTCTTTCTGCACTTAATAAGCATTTTTCTCACTCAGACAGACCACAGATAGCAGTCCAGGCAGGGCATTCATTTATTTGCTAGGTGGCTGATGTGCAGCAGAAGTCCACAACATCTGCTGCAGGTTGTTTGTTTCTATTTCTGTTGTCTTGTGTGCACAAAAAGAGAAAAGGATCACATATTGCAACAAGTTGCAGCAGAGGGCTTTTTCCATTATTGCTGTTGAATGCTGGCACGAGTCTCACACTTTCCTCTGGTCTGTTCTCAGTCAGCAAAGTGACGCTTTTATTGTGCACGGAGGTCAGCGCTGCGGCAGAGTGGGATGCGTCACTCACTGCCTGCGTCAGTGGAGCAGCAGTGAACCCTTCATATACGCAGTTCATTCAGACTTTAGCTCCCTGCAGACATCAGATCTGTTTGTGGCAGACAGCCCTCGTGTAAACCTTTTCATACAAAAGGGTTATTGTAGATTATCCACCAGTGAACTGAGGGCAAAAACAAATTGATAATTTTATCTTTTTGAGGGTTAATGTCATTTTGCACTTACCACCGATATGAACAACCAACAGTGTATATAAAGCAGAACAAGTAAGCTTGTTTTACAAAATGAACATGAATCACTTCAATCACCTGTCCCTGAAAAGTGGAAACGGCAAACTTTATAGCTAACTGCATAATGTCCTTGCCATAAACAGAATTTAACCTTAGAGCAAACCCAGAGAAATAACAGAGGGCAAATTCAGTGAAATGTGTTCACTTTTAGTCTGACTACTTGGCAAGCTTCTCTGTAACACCATAAGAGAGTTATTTTAGGTTTACAAGACTAAATCTCTATGTCCAACTTAAAAGGTCATACCTGTAATATCAAGAGAGCGGCATAAAAAAGCTAGAAAAAAAAAAACTATGCAGCGAATCAGCGGATAGAAACTTAAAAAAAAGAATGTGTTGCTTTTGTCTCAAAATAACATTTAAAAACAGATTTCTCCCAGCAAGCTAGACTCCTATTACAGCTGTTCAACTCTATAAGGCATTAACGGCTTCATTAGTGGCTCAGTCTGCACTGTCCACATGTTCAGCGTCTCTGGCTCCTCCCAGCAGAGCACTTGAACAAGTTCCATTCCAAATCAGATACAATTAGCTACATGTTTACGAAGGTAAAGAATAGGTGTTAGAATTGCCACCAGTTCTAACTTTCAGCCACATAGTTAAATGTTTTTTGTGGAAGGGGTGGAGCAATTGCCACGACTGCGCCTCCCGTAAATTTCACATTAACACCTACGACTATTTTAATCTGTTCATTCAGCAAAACATGAAGAAGAGGGAAGATGCAATTCCAGCAGATCAACAGATCTCAATGATGGCCCATATCAGCTGGTGGCTTCAGCTGATATCTTGCTTCCAGTTTGCAACTCTCACATGCAAGGCGGCTATTAAATTACTTTAGTTAGCCTACAGTTATTGCACCCTGCATGCTGCTTTGAAACCCACTTCAGTGTGGTGTCTGTCATCACTAACTCCTGCTCCAGCCTGTGAGTAAGGGGTTTGCTGCTGCTTTTTCCTCCTCTGGCTCTCTTTTTATGATTGTGGACACACAGGGAGGTCCCAGAGCAAAGCCGTAATGCCAGATATGAAGTACTGCAGATGAAAATAATCAATCATCTTTTGGCTATAGTGGTCCTGGCTGAAATGGTCTCCAGCTGTTAAGAAATGCACTGTGAATCAATTCTCTTTTAACTGTGAAAGACTAAATGAAGTGCGTTAAGTTCATTCATCGACTGGCGAGCATTACTGTTCTGTTCATTTCTGTATGCATATAAGTTAAATATGCTGCGCCGTGTTTGGGTGTGAGGAGAGTGTGTACATATGTGTGTCTCACTCCCTTTCACTACCCTTTGAATGCTGGAGCTGTGTTTCCATGGCAACGCTGACCCCTGGGAGTCAATGTTATTTTTTTTCCACACAAGTAGCCTCTTTGCAATCCCTCTCTCTCTCTCCCTCTCTCTCATCCATCCTTCCCTCCCACTCTTCATCTCCTGTTCTCTCACCAACTCGCATTGCGTCTCTCTCTTCTTTTGCTATTGTGTACCAAAGTAATAAAGAAAAAAAACACTCTTTACTCATTATCTGCTCCTGCACAGTCCATTTTATTCAGTGGCTGTGTCAGCTCTTTCTCCTTTCAGGACATCTTTACACTGTTGACACACATTCACGCACAAACACAGCGCATCAGAAACTCTCCTTCTTCCTCTCTGTATTCAGACATCGTTCAGTCTCAGTTCATCTCTTCTTTGGATCTCTTTGTCTCCCGTCCTTTATAAGGACACCTCTAAAGACAGCTCCCACTGTTTTGCATCTCGCAAACAGGAGCCTTCATCGTCCGTTGTATAATGTCGTCTTCATTTTATAATTCCACTGAATTCAAGATGGGATGTTATCATGCATGTGTAATCGTAACTTCACAGGTGAGACATCGCCTCGTTTCCCTCTCTGCTGAACATGAACAGTGTAAAACATCAGAAACATCTCTCTGTAACACTGATAAACACATTTGTGTAGAAAGACTGACTTTATACTTCTCTTTGGGATTGTAGTGGAATTAATTGCCTGATTAATAAAGAAACAAATCTATCACTTATATTTCTGCTGGGTAAATGTACTTTAAAACTTCGATAACTAAGTAATAACCTATCTCTTTTTTTGCCCAACCTCCCACCAGGCCAAGCTGATCGTCCCCAACAGTACAGCAGGATTGATCATTGGTAAAGGCGGAGCTACAGTCAAGGCAGTGATGGAACAGTCTGGGGCGTGGGTCCAGCTATCCCAGAAGCCAGAAGGTATCAACCTGCAGGAGCGTGTGGTCACCATCAGCGGCGAGCCCGAACAGAACCGGAAAGCAGTGGAGATCATTGTCCAGAAGATCCAGGAGGACCCGCAGAGCTCCTCGTGCCTCAACATCTCCTACTCCAACATCACAGGGCCAGTCGCCAACTCCAACCCCACCGGCTCACCGTACGCCAACTCAACCGAGGTCATGCCAGCTGCCGCAGCCGCTGCCGCGGCTACGGCTTCTTCTCTGCTCGGCCAGGCAGGCCTGGCTGGGGTTGGAGCCTTCCCAACCACTATGTCCAGCCTATCAGGCAACGACTTGCTCGCCATCACTTCTGCCCTCAACACTCTGGCCAGCTATGGTTACAACACCAACTCTCTGGGCCTGGGGCTCAACCCTGCTGCTGCTTCAGGGGTTCTAGCCGCAGTAGCGGCTAATGCAAATCCAGCAGCAGCTGCTGCAGCTAATTTGTTAGCATCCTATGCCAGCGATGCATCCACCAGCGCTGCTCACCCTGCAGCCAGTCTTGGAGGCTTCTCTCTGGGATCCCTAGCTGCTGCTACAGGGGCCACCAATGGTTACTTAAGCGCTGCTTCACCACTTGTGGCATCATCTCTACTGGCCACAGAGAAGCTAGCAGAAGGAGCAAAGGAAGTGGTTGAGATCGCTGTGCCAGAAAACCTAGTGGGAGCCATTCTGGGGAAAGGAGGGAAGACGCTAGTGGAGTACCAGGAGCTGACTGGCGCCAGGATCCAGATCTCCAAGAAGGGCGAGTTCATTCCTGGAACTCGGAACAGGAAGGTGACCATCACAGGTTCCCAGGCCGCCACACAGGCTGCACAGTACCTGATCAGCCAGCGAATCACCTACGAGCAGGGGGTACGCGCCACCAACCCACAGAAGGTGGGCTAAACCTGACAGCCGATGAGAAACGAGGAGGAAAAGAGGAAAAAAAAAGAGTGGGGGCTTGGGGGAGGAGTATAAAAAAAGTGAGAATGGAAAAAGGAGAGGAGAGCAAGAATGTCGGAAGGAATCGTTCGCACCGTTTTCTTCTGCGTGTTTTCAGTATTCTCTATTAAAAAAAATTTTTTTGACGCAAAGCAAAAATGTGCTGAGAAGACGAGGAGGGAGAGGAGCGAGTTATTACGCTGAAAAACCAAGAAAAAAATGTGCAAAATGTAAATAAGGTTTTATTACTTAACGTCTTGACCTTTTGGGATTTTTTATTGTTTTGTTTATTGTTTTATTGTTTTGTTTCGTTTAGTAAATTAAGCTGTCTGTTTGTTTGTGTATTGTGTGGACAGAGCTGAATGCCATGTAGACAGGCCGACTGCCTGAGAGGCTACAGGAAGTGGGGGGATGGAGGGAAGGGCATGGGTGCGGCAAGGCGGAGGGTTGGGGTTTACAGGGTTCAGCCCTCCACCGCCCCCGAACCCAATACGGAAACAACCCTTAGCCCTCCTTCCCCCTGCAGGCCACACCCATCACCCTCCAGTAGGGTTTTTGTTTTTTCTTCTAGGAGATTTACCCCAAACCCCTCGCCCCACCTCCCTTGAATGCCCCTCTCACTTTTTGCTCCCCTGACCCGCCCCTCTCCCTTTTACAAGGGTTTTATAACAAACAAGACTGCAAACCTCAGCCTGGTGTGCGAGAGAAGAAATGCCCTTGACTCCTCCCCCACCGCCGACACCTTCTATTACTTCACCCGCATATGATCGTACCTCCCTCCTCGTCCCCTCGTCTGGGAGATGAAGGGTGAGGTGAAATTGGGCAGAGGTGCGGGGAAAGAGAATCAACCGGGCACTTTTTTTTCTTTTGCACACCTTCCCATACCTGTGATGTATCCCACAAGCAGTGCAGCGCTGCAGGGGTGTTACAGCATGTGACGCCCACCCCCACGTGTGGCTCTAATGTCTCAGATAGAAAGGCGAAGCGCACGCCGATGACCTCACATAGTGAAAAACCCATAAACGACAAGAGCGATACAGCGCAGGCTGCGGCAAACACACAGGATCTATGGCATTTTTTGCAGTCTGCTGTGATAATTCTATTAACTATATTGTCGATATAGGAATCATTACCTTCGTCATTATTTATTAATGAGTTCACCCATATAAGGCTCAGTTGTGTTTTTTTTTTAATCTGTGAATTCAGGTTGACATGAATGTAAATGAGACTATTTTTGATTTGATTCTTTTGTTTTAATTTAAGTGGATTGAAGATGAATAGTAATGTCACATAGTGTAATATATGTCTTATTTAAGTCCAGTAAGAAAGCCACCCCAGGCATTAGGATCATTACAGTGAAGGATCACCTTATATATCCAGTCAAAGAAAAGAACAGGGAACACACACAGACACGCACACGTTTTCACACTGAAACAGAACATTATGATGCCATATTTGGTGCTAGAAAAGGGAAATCACCATATCTATGATGCAGACTGCAGTAAGACTTCTAGATTAGCAAGAAAAGCTCTAAACCTCTCGTACCACAGGCTGCAGTGCAGCTGAATTAACCTACCTGGTTATCATGCTTAGCTCCTAGCTCATGCTGCAAAAGATCACTGCTGTTTATATGCCCTGTTGCAGTTTGCCTGCATTGTAAAGTTGTAACTAAAATGAATAATCCAGTTGAACTGAAACTAATTCTCGGATAAACTGCTGCTCGGCCTGTGGACGCCCGAACCCTTCGGATTAACCCAAACCACAGACTAGATAGAGTGAGAGCAATTAAGACTAACAAGATACTACTGAGAAATGCAAACATTTAGTCGGAGGTAACACTGAAACGTGACAAAGGAACGTCGTTTATCTGGGGTCCACTGCTGAATCTGCAAGCCTCGCTAGTAGATTTGCTTTTTTACGGCAGCGTGCATATCAGTAATGGAGATAAATAGGCTCACTGACCTTTGCTCTTATCACGCATCCGTCCAACTGCCAATGAGATGAAGGGCAGATGAGAGATTTTTAACATATGTCCTGGGAGCTGAGCTCATTTCTGCCTCTGGCAAGCTGTAGGTCTCCCTCGGAAACGGATTTACTGCCCACTGTAGACCCAGGAGGCTGCTGAAGATGCTGTTGTTTCTTCTGTTGTTGAGTTTTTTTTGTTTGTGTCGTGTTATTTTTGTCTGTTTTTTTTAACAATCGGAGTACACTGAATTTTTTTTGTCTTAATGCACTGTGAAGCGAGGGAGAGTTTCTCTCGACCTATGAGGTCAGGGATGTGTGCTATAGATGGCATCGTTGACTGGATGGTTTTTTGTATGGCAGGGAAAAAAACACGCATATATGAAATATATGTAGAATGCATATGAAGAACTTCACCGGAAATGCACATCATATCTGAATATTGACGGAGGTGAAAGAGACTAGGTCGATGAAGAGGATCAATCAATTGAGGTCAATTAGATCCTACTTACCTGTTATCTTGGAAAAGTGTTTCGTAATTAGGGGGCAGGATGTTGGGGAGTGTTAGGTGTCCAGTAGTAGATTAAAGAGACTGGAACAAATTCTAAATTCAATATCCTATCGCAGCTGTGTCTTTCTCACGTACTGCACATCCAACAGGCAAGTCCCTGGACAGAGATTTAATTCTAACAGTAGCTGAAGTATGACGGAATGTAAAAGGCCAAAAATGAGGAGGGGGTGCATTTGATTTATTGACCTAAAAGCCTGGTGAGGGGAGGGAACACCTCTAAGACTAAACAAACAGACCTTTTGATTCTTTTGAAACCAATCCGACCCAAAATCCTCCACTGTGCTTTTGAATGTGTCACTCTCTGTTGGAGCGCCAGTGAGGGTTTATCTCCACAGCTTGGTAAGGAGGCTTCTTTACTCCCATCTAACACCATCCACACTCTCCTCACCCTCCCACCCGTCCTCAGTTTTCCAGTGCACTCCCATCCTGACACCCCCTCTCCTCCTACCACATCGCTCCATGGGTGACTATGTCTGGTGTTACGATCAATGCATGTCTGCTGCTTGCCCCGACAAACGCCACAGATTGAGCCTCTTCTCTCTTTGCCTCCTCGGGCAGCTGAGGCTCGGGCCACCAAATGCGACACTATCAGAAAATAACCACGCCCGAAGAGGAAGTCATAGCTGGCAGGGCACAGTGCATAAACACTCTTATTTGTAGTTTGTACTTCATAACAGTGACGAGATACATTACTAGCTTGGAAAACATTGCACAAACACACACATATTTCGAGGGAATAATTTCTCTTTGATAGGGTTTGACTGGATTTTATTGCAAAAGCCAGTGTGCTTTTGCTCTGCTATGGAAATATACTGTGCTGAATGCATTCAGTAGGCTGATTTCCATTTCATTTAGAGTAAGATTTGCCTTTTTTCTGCAGGTAGACTCATTTATGGACTTAATATCTATTGAGCAATTTTGGAAAATAATTTTAGGTTTGTTGGTCAGACAAAACAAGCAATTTGTCACATGTAGTTGTTTAGCGGAAACAATAATTACTCAGGTAATTTAAAGATTTTGAATGCTAATTAATTGAAAGTCATGTGGCCGTGTTTCCTCCCCCTGCTTTGGAAAGCGTGCATGCAGCACAGTATGTTTACAGTGGCAAAACTGCACTGAAATTTCTTATATAGGTGCCATTTGATTTAATACTTTAATTCTTTTTTATCTTATTAATTAAACCTTAGGATGACTGTCTTTTACACAGCAGCTAATCTCTTTAGTTATCATAACGTTAGGGGATTGAGATAAAATGTGACAAGTACTAGAAGCAATACATGTTGTGTCGTCCCGTCCCTTATCCTCTGTGTGCCGTAGGAGCTTTTGGATTTACCCGTAGATGTTGGATAGGTTTACACGAGTAATTTTTTTTTCAATTTGTGGAAGATGCTGCTATTTAATAATAATAACAAGAAAAAAAAATACAAGGTAAAAACATATCGAAATCTGTCCTTTAGCTGGAGAGGCTAGTTGCAAGCAGTGTAATACACGCTCTGTTATAAGCTGACAATAAGTTAATAAGAGCATAATTTTAACCTGAACAAGTAAAACCTGTGCCAAAACAGAACTGTAAATGTGTTGATTTAAATCACATTAGGTAAGAGGAGACATACTTTTATATTAAGAAAATGTGAAAAGTGCCAAATGAACCATATTTATAAATCAATACATAGGGGGTCAGTTTTTGAGAACTAGGTACACTAACAGACAAAGCGCTTCAGTATAGCAGTTTGTTCAATCCCTCTTCACTCCTGCCACAAGACGAGGGACCGCCATGTTAGCCAAGTGTTAGCCTGTCCTCTGGGAACTACTCTTCCCAGGATGCAACAGCACTATGACTCTGGGGCTAGAGTATCAATATAGTGATAGGTTAGCATAATAATGCTAAAAAAAAATGTGACTAGATAGCATTCTTAAACACAGCCTTTTATAGTTACGATGAAGATGTATTTTGTGGAAATAGATGTTATCTTTTTTGCACGTCTATATTGCATGATATCAAAGTGAAGCGTGGACAAAAAAAAAAAAATCAAAGAAACAAAAAAAAGAAAAACCATGTAGGAAGTGTGTGTTGTTCATTTTTCGGAGACAAATCTTTGCATGCCGATAAGGGTAGAGCATTTTGGTATTGTTTTACACGCGTTCAGATGTTCGTTGTTTTTCGATGCAGTCGCGTCAAGTCCCGGTCCACCTGCTGCAGGTGAAGACGATGTTTGATTTCGATGTCACGACCGAGTGAGTATTTTGTCGCTAAGCTGTCTAACCTTCCTCAGAGGGATACGAACAAAACTCTCGAACAAACCTAAGACTATTTTGCTACTTGTTGAGCGAGCTTGGACTAAACGCTTCTCAGTTCCTACTTAACTTTTGAACAATTTTTTGAAGAAAAAAAAAATCTGGATTTATTTTCAAATAATAGACTGAGATTGTCCATGAATGTACTCACCTCTCCATAAGTTTGCATATCACTCTTCTGACCACTGGCGTGCAGTAGAGGCTTACATGTGTTTTAGTGTGTCTCTGTAATCTAACCTTACTAACCCCTCGACGCACTCTGTCAGGCTCTCAGTATTAATATGTTGTCTGTCCTTTGAGCCCCCACGCTCTGAGCTCTGGCTTGTCTTGTCATTGAATTGCACCTTATTGACCTCAAATATGACATGGAGCATCTCTGGTCCCGCCCCTCGTGGTCGCGAGTGACTCGTAAAGAGAGACAGTGTGTGAGAAAGAGGTGAAAGATCCCCTCCCTTACTTTTAAATCCAAAATAACGCACAGACACACTATGCTGTGTGCTGCACCGCCTGCCTCCCTCGGGTGACTTGCTGCAGAATTTGGGACAGATTGTGTTTTCACTCCCTTAACATGCAATCCAAGGCTCTGATCTCGGGGAGAGAGAGAAAAAACAGCACTGAACATTGCCAGTGTGGGTTTTGAATCCTGATCCCCCTCCTCCCCTCTCTCTCTGTCTCTCTCTGTCCTAAGTTTCCCAGTTCAGTTTAATTAGATGCTATTGGCTTCGGTGTCAAATTTTTTTGTTTTTTTGCCAAAGTCTCTCTCCGGATTTGCAGTGCGGTCATGCTTCGTATACTGACAGATGTTGTCATGGGAAGTGGCCCGCTGTTCACAAAACTAACTGAGATGGGGAAACGATCGGGATTTCCATTATTGCTCCTCAGTGACACGTTTGCACTAAACCTTCTGCTGTTACAGTGCACGGCACGCCGAGCTGAGGTGGGGGTCAGTGTGCGAGACTACTGTAGATGGTAGCCTTACTGTAGGTGTTCATTCAGCATTGTATTTAGATGTGCATGCTCCTCTCTCTCTCCCGCCCTCTGAGTTTGTCTGCTTTAGGCCCGCTCCGTGGTGTCTGTGTTGCGGTGTAGCCGGCTAGCCATGTTTTATTCATGTCTTATTTTTGTTGGCTTTTGTTTTTACTGTAACGTGTAGAGGAATGCAAACTCAATTCTAACCTGCTCGCCAGGTGACCTCATTGCTTCTCAGTGGGTGTGTGGCTCTCCGACATAGTCCCCAGCTCTTGTTCTCTGCCCCCCGCCTACCCTCCACCGCCACGCCTACCTCCACAAACCCACTCTCACCCACACCCACCACCTTTTCAAAACAACATCTAAGACATCTTTTGGGACCCCGCTCCCCACCCCCTTTTCCACCCTTCTTCCTCCCCCAACTCGGGCCCCATCGAAGCACCAGCAACTGTAGACTGCATTTGTCATATCACTGTTTTTCTGTTCCTTCTCTCGTTTCTCTGTTTATTTTTTTCCTGGTTTTGATTTGTACTGTATGCTCTAACCCAAACCAGTTTTAACAAAATGCCATTTTCTGTATGTAGCCTGTTTACCCTACTCCACCCCCACCCCCCCTACACACACACACACACACACACACAAACACAATATCCTCCATGCCCTCTTTTTTTGCACTTTCACTGCCCACTCCTCCTCCTCGCCCAAACATACACACACTTTCCTCCTCCGCCTCCCACGAGTCTCTTCTCTCGAGTGCCAAAATAGAACAGAGAGGAAAAAAAAGCAAAACAAAACAAAAAAAAAGACAACAACAACAACTACTACTACCATTCCAAGCGTTTCTTTGAGTTGTTCTTGTGTGTCGGACATCCATCCTGGAAGCACCCATGAAGCCAGCATGCTCCGCCCTCATAACATGATGTCGCTCATGACGCCTCAACTGAACAGCACCTTGCCCCCCACCACCACCACCTCCTCCTCCTCCTCCTCCTCCTCACCACCCCCACAGAGCTAAACCCGACAAGGATTAACCCTTCTGCAGGTTGGCTACCTACCTACTGTCCTGCCTCTCAACCTACCTTAAAAAAAAAGCCCTACCGCTCATGCCAGCTGCTTTCCTAATTCTGTCATTTCTTCAGCCTGTGGGACTTCATTGATTGTGTGCCATAGTGTTGGGGGCACCTTTCACTCTCCTCACCTCCCCCTTCTTTCTATACCCCCACCCCACCTTTCTCTCTCTCTCTCTCTCTATAACCCCTCTCGCTCTCGCTCCATTTGATTTTTCTCGATGGGAAAGATTAAAAAAACCTCCATTTTCTAATGATGATTTTTTTTGTTGTTGTTTAACATCCAAACCACGCACGCCGACACATGCACCGCCCCCAGTGCAGTGGTGTGGGGAGTGTTTACGCACCGTCAGCTGCGCAGCCATCCTCTGTCTTCTTGAACTTTTTGAACTTTCACCCCCTCATGAACTTTATTGACCTTCTTCCTCCTCCTCCTACCCCCCTTCTGTGTTCATCCAACTGTTTGGACGATAACTCTCCATTCCATCCCCAAAACCTCTCTGAGACTGTGCAATGCTAGCTGATATGATTGGATTTTTTTGTTTGTTTGTTTGTTGCTCACCATTGGGGACAGTTCTCTGAGCTATAAGTCAAAAAAGAACAAAAAAAAACATATGAAAGGACGAAAAAAATATTTTAAAAAATGCAGACAAACAAAAAAAGGATAAAACACTAAACAATTGTTTCTCCACAATTTCATTTTTTTTCTCTCTCATTGTAAATATTTTTGTCAGATTTTTTGCCGAGGTGTAAAGAGAGAAGTGTTGAGCAGAAAGGGGCGGGCAGCATAAAGAGAAACTAGTGGACGCGGTAGACGATCGTAACACTTTTCATCCTCTGTATCCGATACTTAGGTCTGCCTGTATAATCGGCTATGCTAGTTCTACTGTGTTAACCTGTGCTGTTGTTATTAGTGTTGATTTACCTACTGTATTCGCTGTTTAGCGTTCATGTCGGCTAGCCAACTTTTTAGATAAGTGTGCTCATCAAATAATAATACTAATCTTGAGAAATAGTCCGAGCCATTCTCAACGTAGGCTTGCTTTTGTACATTTGTTGATGTTTCTTAACAGTGAGTTGTAGTGGCACTAGTATCTTTTTAATCATCAAGCCATAGTGATTGAAAACGCTTGGTCATGTTAGAGACATATCATCGTGGAAGACGGCTCGACTCAGCTCCTCCAAGTCGGAGAAAGAAAAACAAAAACAGGGAGGCGGAGGCAGAAAATTGAAAAACAAAAGAAGAAGAAATTAAGCTTCTCCCGGGCTACAAAATGAGGAAGATGAGCTGCTAACTTTTGTGCAATACAGTCCTAGTTTACATAACATAGAAGGATAGTTTAGAGATGATTAACCTCTGCAGGTGCCGCTCAACCACTCCGCTGCCTGCAGAACCAAACTTGTATCATATCTCCATATTTCGCCTCCACATCAAAGACATGTTGAAACTATTAAAGTGACTGTGTGAGATTAGACTCCACCATTTCATTGCATTGCTCTGAGCTCCACTCTTGATTTATGCTGCCTGCCCCATTGCCCTGAGAACACCACATGAGCTATTTATTTCTCAGACTATTATTATACTATTAATAAATAACAACACAACGAGAAAAAGGGAACGACTGGAAAAAGGTGAATTAATATTATAATTGTTTTGTTTTTATTTTTAGTATTTAGTGGTTGCTTTTAACAACATTCATTAACTGACTTAAAGATTACTGAATATTTAATGTAATTGTAGCATTGTGTTTGTAAAGAGAAAAAAACCTAGTGAGTTGTGTTTCTTGACTTGTGGATTACCAGTGAAGTGGGCAATCTAGTGCTAATATATATGAGGTCTTTTTTTAAGGATTCTTATTTTGCGACAGCAACAGCAGTCATTATAAATGTTCATTTTAGCATCACCTGTCTTCCGTTGTCTTATTCTTCACCTTCCACCACACTCTGCATCATCACAGTAACACATCGCAAGTCTGAGGGTGGGGACCGAATGTGTGTTTGGGCGAATCGAGGTGCGCGCGCGAGGGTGTGTGTGAGCAGCGTGTGTCGTGAATGTGTGTTAGTTAACAAACCTGTGTTTATTTGTGTGTCTATGCAAAATATGGTGCACATGTGCTTGTATCTTGCGTGTCTGTCTGCTCACACGTGCGAATCTGCGTGCGTCTGCGTGGATGTGTGTGTGTGTGCGATTGTTGGGTCTGTGAGGGGGGGGTTCGGGGTGGGTGTTGTGTCCAGTGTCCACCAAAAGCTAAAACTTGTCAGGCTTCCATACTTCCTGATGGAACCTCCTGACGTTATAGCTGCAAACCCTCATCATGTGATCTGACTCAACTCGACTGTCCATAACCCCTTCAGTCACCTGACCAACCAAATCAACCAATCACTGTCCACCACTACCGCCTTCCCCCTGCGCCATCCTTTGCTGCACACCACGTCAGCCCCATGTGATGTTCTCCATTGATAACATACTACTGTCACAATCTACTGTTACATGCTGACAGATCTGGGGATAAATACGCTTGCTTTCGTTCATTCGAGGTGTTTTCACCTTTGAGATTATTACTAAGCGCTCCTTAAATCAAGGCAAGTGTCCCTCAGGTTGTTTGACTTTGAAAGGATCAGTTCACCCATATTTAATGTTTGCCCAACAAGTGCAATATCTGTCAATAATTTATGCTCCAAAACGCTGGAGGTGAATGAAGTTAAGTCCGTGGTGGTGCTCACAGCATTAAAAATGCATATGTAAATTTAATTCACATTTGTGTGCATATATTTCTGAGGAAACCACAGCCCTCGCTGCAAACAGCTTTGCTGTAGTTTCTGGGACTGATAAGTCAAAACACTACATGAGTCAAAAAGACAGGTGCTGTCTAACCATCTAAAAAAATTTGAATGTGACTTGAACAGTTTGGGAGATTTTAGCTGTACAGAAGTCAGATTTCTCTTAAATAATAATGAAGGAGATAGGCTACATTTACCAAATAACAGCAATGCCCTTCTCTGTTATACAAGAAACTCCTTGTGAATAATTTTATGTAGAAAGTATTTTCTCTCTGCCAAACTACACCTGCTAACTGTGGAAGGAAACGTGCATCTACCTGTGACAAGACAGCTGAGCTGTGATGATGGTTAGCTACATGTTTCCTTTAAGTGGCAGATATAGTTCCATAGAAGTGAAATAAAAATTACATCAAAGATAATAAAGATAATTTTTTGTTGGTTTTTTAGTAATCTTTTCAAACTCTAAGAAAATAGCACTCGACAAGTACAAATTTGGATTTATAACATTGAAATTTTGAGGTACATAACTTGAAATGTTGAGATGATAATCCAGCCTAGCAAAAATAAATAAATCAGCAACTTAAACAGGCTTCAGTAGTTACTGCCGTGGTGTCATCCAATCATGTTTTTTGGTTCCTTGATCACCACAGCCTGGGTCCCGCATAGTTTTATTACACCGAAAAGCTGGCATCTCCAAAATTGGGCAGCTTACACCAAATAAATCGAGATGGATAAATAACTCTACGGCCCAAAATGTCAATTTGATTTTGAGAAGAACTGTACCTCTAAGTAAGAAACTATTTCTTGGATAGCTTGGATGAACTGACCCGTTAATCAGCCTGAGGTGGACTTGTTCCGTTTAATTTCTTCAGCGTCATTTAATGAAATTTAGTTTGTTTTCCCCAGAACTGCATATTACATTTCTACTGTTCATACTACTGTACGTGCTGCATACTACCTTACCAGGTCAGAATCCACCTTAACCTGTCTCCATGCCAACCACAGAGGAGCCAGTTGCATGGCAACCGGCTTCCGCCACAACAAAACAACCTACCAACCAGCCATCTTTCTCAACTGATGAGGCCACGCCCACCTGACTATGATCGCTCCGTAGAAGAAGAGATAGAGGAAGAGAGAGGATAGGAAGAAGGGATGACAGATGAAAGAGATGTAGTTGTGATTCTCAGGGTGTCTTATATAGATCTACTGTTTAGTCTGTTCTCCAGTCTCTCACTGGTGTCCTGTTGCCCCTAACTGAGCCCAAAGACGATCATGTCCTCCTCTGATAAAGTCCTTGTTTGATTGACTACTGACCAATTCCTCTCCATCAGTTGATTGATAGTATTGATTGACCAATTCTCTTGAGAGCTTGAGCTGAAAGGAGCTCAGCACTGTAACTAATGTTTACAACCCAAATGAGACCAACAACGCTGTTGAAAGAATGTCTAGGACTTAAAAAAAAGGGAAAAAAAAGAAAAAAAGAGAGACAAATCTCTGAAGAGTACTTATTTCTAAATGATGGAACTTTTCGCTTACTTTCTATGTGACATGAGGTAATGTAATTTTTTTCAGTCATTGCATGTGACTATTTTTATTTGCAATGAAACTGTTAGAATGGATGGTACATTTGTGACGTCAGTGCAACGTTCAGACACCGACGCTAGAAGTCAGCCGGTGTCTACTAAGTGTTTTCATGTCGCCGTGAGGAGTGCTTATGGACCAATGAATGCTAAATGTGTGACCATACAAAGCTGTAAAGGTTTTGTTTATTTGTACATGGTTATGGGTAAAATAAACCATTGAAGCAAATTAACATCTTTAGTCTTAAGGAGTAAGCCCTCACACGTTTATTTGTAAAGTCAGTGCCGAGAAAGGTACTTTGGATAATGCAGTCGAGGTAAGTTTCAACAGTTAAAGCTGGTGATGTGCTTCCATTCAAACACTCGGAGGGCTCGATGTAGTTGTGTCAAAGTGTTAGAGAGGGTCAAGAACGAAAGAAAATCAGGGTTCGATCCACTTCCACACATCACCATCCTCCCTACGACAGGCATCACAATCAAGAAGGGGTGAGCTTCAACTCTCTGACATATCCATCTACCCACAATCCTCCTGTGCACCAGAGTCATCCGATCAACAAACACCTGCACCCCCGCATCCACCATGTCAGCTCCTGTGACCTCTGGCCAAATCGTCTCAGCCCTCTCCATGCCATCGGCTAAGTGGCTAGTGGCTTTTTGAGCTGTTGTTGCAAAGCCTCCTGGGAAATGGAGTCACAAACAATTCACAGCATGGTCTGACCAACCTCTTGTCACTCTCCTCCCACACACCTTTCTCCATACGCCACTAAAGAAGTTCCTCCGGCTTCCAGCGAGAAGGTCATGCCATTTTGTTCCTGATGGGTTAGGTCGCCACAAACAAGAACATATACGGGCTTTCCGGGCAGCTAAAATACAATATGGAAAAAATGGGTAAAAGTGACTTTTTACAGTCAATTCTTACATAATACATTCAGTATTAAGATCTAACCACTGAGATGTTCATCGCTACACTTTGCACTATAAATGCTATGTGAAACTTTACTTTTTTTGTTGTTTATGAAGCTAGAAGTGCTGTTGGAGCAGCAACTACTTTATTGGTAGACTTTAGCCTCAAACGTGGAAACGCTGAAAAACAGTGGGGTTGGCAAAAAAGTTCAGTCACAGGCTCAAAATAATAGGGCACATTTCAGAAACTATACCTCAAGTACAGTGATTTACCGGTCATATAAAAATTTACAACCGATATTCAGGGTTTAAACTATTAACTTTAGGGTCCAATCACACTGTTGCACTACTATAGAACTCGACCTGACCTGATGTGGCTCTAAAATGAAGCTGTAGATACAAACAAGTCAAAACTCCTTTAGAAGTACATGACTTAACTGTCTGTACAGCTAACAGCATCTTCTTAACGGCATTTCCTGCGCAGGATGTGACATATAAAAAATACATTTGACTTAATTAATTCTAAATGATGCAACTCAACCAAATTGATCACTATATTATAACATTATTTCTGACTATTATGACCAAATACCACAAATATGCGTGCCAGGCTCTCCGACAAATCAGTTCAAACTGAACTTACTGACAAAAGCATCAGTCACAGAGACCTAGACACCACCTCCCTGTCACCAGGTATAACTGGTCACAAACAGCGTGCAGGAAAAACCGTAATGGGATTCTTTTGGTTGCGGGCAGACTGAGTGCCACGTTTGCTTGTAGTTTGTATGAAAGAAGCTGACTTGCCTGCAAATACCTGCAATATGCCTGCAGTGAAACTTGAAAAATTGAGTCGCACACCAGAAATGGTGATGGTTTGCTTTCAAAGTAAAAGCCTTATTGCTGGAACGAACCATTTTCAAAGGCTGAAACCTTTACTTTGAAAAATCTCTATTTCTGGTTTTCATCACACATTACAATGTTTCACTACCACTTGATGAGTAGTTTGCTGTTGTTTGCAGACAACTTCCATGCGAACCTCTGGTGACCGCAGCAACCTGCCAGCAACCAAAGCAACTGCTAGGAGGTTCTGGTGCAGTATCGTATCCGTATTTGCAACCTGTTTCCAACTATCATCTTTCACATTACGAACCACTTACAAGTCCGTCTTGGAATACATGAATTTCCCTAGCAACCAGCAGGTGACGGGGTGTCAATGATCAGATTTAAAGCCTAAATGACCGGGGCATGAGCAATTTATTTTACAGTGATTACCAGCAGGGGTGGATCCTGGGATTTAGGGCCCAGGAAAATAATATATCACTTTATGCCCCCAAAGTGGAAGCCATTGTTTCAAAAATTAATAGTTTTAATGATAATGTTCTTTATTTATTTTACATTGATACACCACATGCAAATGCTTTTTGTATGTAAAAACCACAAACACATTATTGTCTCTCAGAAATGAAGTGCGCTAACCAACACTTGGTTACACTTGGAGAGGCAAGCAGCATCTTTAATTCTGAATTCACTATGAGTTTAATTTCCAGCTGTCCCTCTTTTCTGGTTTGAGACCCAGACTTTGATTTTATCCACCCTATCGTCTTACATCTGTACCGCTCAGTGTCAACTAGGAGCTAAAAGTACCTGTTAAGTAAACATTATTTTATGGTGATAGGTTCATTATTTTCATTTTTTTTAAAAAAGACAAATTAACTGTTTCAAGTTTAAGTTTATTTCAAGTTTATTTATTTATATAGCACTTTTAAAAACAACTGTTGACCAAAGTACTCTGCAATAAAATAGTCAAATCAGAAGACTTACCAAATAACATAGAATGTAGATTAAGAGAAAATAGAATCATGGAAAGAACAATAGTAACAGACTCATTTTGATTTAAAGGCCAGAGAATAAAAGTGGGTCTTTAGACGGGTTTTAAAAGTATCCAGTGTTGGGAAGATCCTCATATGCAGGGGCAATGTGTTCCATAATTTAGGAGCAGTCATGGCCCGGTCTCTTCTGTGTATTAATCTGGACCTTGGGACAACCAAGCGCATTTGGTCTGCAGACTTCAAGGATCTTGGGGGAGAATACCAGGTTTCACTGATTTCTAGTGTGCCTGTCAGTCTTGGGCCCTTCATCGCTTTGCCAACCCATTAGCAGATATACATTTTCCCCATGTTAACTGGTCTCTAGGCCTCTGTGATTGGGGTTTGAATTGAATTACCACTGTCACTGAACAACCCTTTGGCATTTTGCAGTGAAACCTTGTTGAGCCATTAAGAACAAATACTCACACAAGTCTATTTTTTTGTGCTGAACAGCAGCATGAAAATCCAACATATGAACCCAAGACAGTATATACAGGGATGCTTTGCCTTGCTGTTGGGACTTTTGAATGCAGCAATGCAAATGGTGCCAGCTCTCAGGATAATAATCTCATACTAGTGGAAGAGGCCAAATTTTAATCAGGTAAGGTTTTTGCTTTTACTTCAAAGCAAAACTTGTTTGATTATGGCTCAATGAGCTAAATGTTGATTCAAATAGTTACCACCCCCAATATCTTTCCATGATGTTGTCATTTATAATATATTCACAATATATCAATAAAAGGTGGCATTTGGCTTCATAGTTAACACGAAATAGCCTCCACTGTTTGGCTTCTCTTACTTAACAGAAAGGATTATTTCTGGCTCCAGGGCACTTCTTCCTCCAATAAACATTTTTGTGACAAAACATATTCACTCAGATGCTTTTAGAAACAAAACAACATCTTTCTGACAGTTACTTTGAATGTGTTCACGTCCTTTCTCCTCATCTGTACAATGGCTTGAAAATTGACCACTGGGATGTACTCCAGTTTTAAGATGAATTACACTGTGCCTTAGATCAGCTCCCAACGGTGCTGTAGGTTGTGTCAGAACCACAGAGTGCTTTGAGGAGACAGAAGGTAAGTGGATTAGTGGCTTGAGAGAGGTTAAAGGATAATTTTGTGTAAGAAGATGAATGCAAACTCTCTACCTGTGTATAGCTAGGAACACATGGTTTATAAATATATATAGTAGTTTCATTTTTCCAAGGTCCTGTGCATTGTGCAGGGAGTGATTAAAGCTTGGTTCTTCCTCTGCAGAGACAGTACATTTTCAAAGTCACAGCTCTGTAGAAGAATAAAGACAAAGAAAGCAATAAATCCCCTCACATCACTGCTACAACCTGCATTAAAATATACAGTTAAAAACTCGTTTCTGTTGAAACTTCATGCTGTCAGTTAAGCATTTCATTTGAAAGCTTGAGAAATGTCTTCTGACGATTATTTTAGCCACATAATACATAAACAACATTATTATGAAAGACATTTTTAAACTATCCAAACTGGAAGTGTAGTTGCTTTTATATGTCATGTCATTTTTCAGTGTTTCAGTCACCACTGCCCTGCTTTTCTATAGAGGACCTTGCGATGAAGCTAGGTTAATAAACTAAGCCTGGTGCTAACACATAGATCACCGACTTCATTGAAATGAGGCTGCTCAGGTGTTGTTCATGCAGCTGCGATTTTCTGTCAACCAGTCAAGCAATTATGAATAAGTTGAAAATCCAGAGTTTAAATACCACCACAGACCTTAAAAGTAATTTAATAAACTATGAAATGAAGCATCTTTCCCAGGAAATTCCTCTGATTCTTAATTGTAACTGTAATTGTAGCCAGTGCTAGCTTGCCATCCATCTTTGTCAGTTTTAACAAAGCACCTACGATTGCTATTAGCTCACCTTTCCTCTTAGAAGCTGCATATTGATTTTCCTCCTTCTTCATGTGTTCCTTTCACTGCTTTACACGCTCCCTCATTCATCTGAACTCTAAGAATAGATCCCACTGAACCCCAAAGGAGTTTTCACAGGAATGTCCAACTTGTTCCAGTGAGGTTTGGTGGAAGTAGGGATGAAGATACATCGCATATGCTCGCTTACTGCAATATTTCTGCAACAATGCTCAGCTTTTACGAGCCTTGGGTTGCAGCTCTTGTTTTTTGTTTTTGCCTTATCTCTGAGGATTAGATGGAGGTTCATATGATCACATTTTGTAAGTAGGTCTGTGCCAAATGTCTACGTTGTCCATCTGCAGATGTAGATATCTGAACTAAACCAAAGTAAGCAACAAGCAGAATCACACTACACTGCCCCGGTGCTGGCAGTGCATCTTCACAGCATTAATAAAAAAAACCACAGATGCATCCTTTAGTTTCACAATTCAGGAAGGCATAAAGGGACATGCAAATATTTAGAGTATTACAGCAAATTATTTATAGTGTTGGATTCGGTACTGGATGCCTCTCTGTGCTCTTTCTCCCTGACCTGACCATGTTTACATACAACCATTAAGCTGTGACATATCCACACCCCACTGAAACTGTTAACTTTTAGTAGCTGTTATAAATAAGTAAGGCAATCGATCCCAAAGAGTTTCCATGGTTCCTAAAGGGGGTGAATATACAGCATTTTTGTTTTTATTAGCACAGGTTAGGGAAAAGAAGGTTTGTGGACTAAACCTATAATCTTCTACTTTTTCATGGTGAAGATGGAGATGACCGCACCACTGTTCCTACAGAGAAGCAATGACTGTCTACCTTAAAAATAAATTACAGCAAACAACCAAATAATAATCACCACTCCCTCCAGCTGCCTGCTTTCCATCCCAGTCTGAGGGCATGTGAGCCTTTGCCAAACTAAGCAGCAGATGTTTTGAATCTAAAAGATACACAATCACTTAATCCTTTGCAATTCACATTCTGAGCAACACCGTTTAACTGGATCCACAGTGAGGAGGGAGGTTGGCTCAAAGGGTTTCATTCCATAGGGCTATATTTAATTCGAGGGGATGAAGCAAATTAAAAAACAGATCTGAAAAATGTAATTCAGTAGGTAAAATTGCGGGCATTATTGGATCTTTAATAATATCACCTTAAATCTAAATTGCGGCTTTGAGGCAGTGTATGTGCTTCGCCCCGAATGAAATGCTGTATTTGGGCCTTGCAGGTTATTTTAAAGATGGAGCAGAAACATGAAATGATTCATCTGTCAGTGCTCTCAAATTTTCCTTCCTTGGGATGTGGACTGCTGAATTATTTAAAGTGTTTCACTATAGAATTTTTTCTTCTTTTGATAAGAAATGAAAATATATCAACCACCAGCAGATTCACAGATAACAGATTTAAAAAATCAGCATTTACCTTTTTGAAAGGAAACCCTTTAAGTGATATAAAGAAGACAACAGCGCAGTCCCTTTGCAGGTTTTTGATACAACCTATTTTATATGAAATTTAGAGTGTAATAAAAAGTTTAATAATTAAAGATATGATTTCTAATCTGACTTCATTTTAAATTAACTTGAATAATTTTGGAACCTAAAATGCTTTGTACTTACACGGAAAGCTTCAAATCTCGCATTATGAAAGTATCTTAACCACATACAGCCTGCAGATTTGTCTCACATAAAGTCACTGAACCATAAGGAGAATATTTAGGAGTGAAAATGAGCTGATAGTCCGTCTGCTCTTTCATCTAAAAGCAACTAATCTTACAGCAGCTGTAAGCCGAACAACACATTCTCCTGCCTTCATCAAGTGTTTCAAGTGACGTCACACACACACACCTAACATATGTCTAACATAAGTAACTCAACTTGTTGCACTAATGATATTAATATATATTTATAGTTTTGTTTTAAAAAGAGTGCTTATCAATTTAAATTGCTCGTCACCGTCTTTAATCCATATTATTTTCCTACAGCACCATCATAAGTGCTATAATTCAGATGTACATTTCTTTCTCAAACATGTTTCAGTTTTATTGAATGTATAATATGTGTAAAAAATCTTTACATCAACCATAACTGCATTACAAAAGCTGTGACTTAAAAAAAAGAACACTGTAGTATGTACAGTGATTGCTTTATCAATTTTATGGTACCTAATATGTTTTGCAATCCTGCAGCTGTTGTTCGTTTTCTTTTGTTTTTGTTCTGGAGTCGATGCTTTAATAAATAAATTTTTCTACGGCACAAAAGGGAAACCTACGCAGTGCTTGATGTGTCTAGCCGATGTTGCTGTGGGTGGCGGCAGAACCAGAACGCAAAGAAGTCCTGCTCCCTTCTCTCCCTGGTGTTTATTTTTTTCATTTGTGAACAACATAAAAATGCAATTTGCCCAAATGCTCTCTGCCTCTTCTTTCAGTACATAAAGCACTATTTTACTGCTCTACTTCTTTTCTTCTTGGATTTATTTCTCCTTGGAACATTTTCAGGCAAGCAAATGGAACTTGTTGCGTTGAAGGTAAGACACATCTGGACGGCTGTTAATGCTCTACATTGCTCTAATCTCCGTTTGCAGCATAATAAAGGATTGCATGTGGCATCTAAAAGGTTTGCAGAGAATTATCACCTGATGCTGCACTTCCCGTCAGCTCTGCAGAACGTCTTAGTGCTCATTTCCAGCTGTAGCAGGCAGCTGTTTTCATCAAAAAGCTCCACAACTCAGCCAGCAGGAATCATATCCCAGCATTTCAAGCTATCCATGGTGCCAAAGTCGTTTTGCTACTATATAGGCCTGCAGTATAATTAAAGAGACTATTACGAGGAACGTTTAGGAAAGTGCAGCATGATATATATTTGTTATTATGTTCCAACACAGTGAGCTAATGCTTTAT